CTTGCCCAGGTGAGGCAGGGACGCGTCCCATTGGCTTAAATCCACTTACGATTCCAGCGCCTCCCACACCTGACTCCACACCCACCTGTCCTGGGGCCTCACACACTCACCTGTCCTGGGGCATTTCCATGAGCGTCCAAGGTCTCAGCTAGGACCCCCAGGGGTCTCTTATTCCAGCCACAGAAGACTCTTGACTTTCACCCCAAAAACCGCCTTCCTCTATTTTCTGCCAACTGAGGCCAAAATAAATCATTAAAAACTATCCAGAGCTTGTTACAAACAAAAAAATTTCACTAAGGCGTCCACTGGCTATATGGCTTTTTTTGTTTGTTTGAGATAGAGTCTTACTCTGTCACCTGGCCTAGAGTGCCATGGTTTCTGTCTTATCATTGTTTCTTCTTCCTTACAGCCTCATCACTGCCTGGCCCTAAGATATTTTCTTCTTCTTCTCTTTTTGCCCTAGCCTCGCTGTTATGTTGCTGTTGTGTTTATCTACAGTGTCTTTGTGCCACCGTCTGGTCTTTTTTTTTCTGTTTTTCAGTATTGAGTATATTTTTTTTTTTTTTTTATATTTTTTTTGTTTCTTTTTTGTTTTGCTTTGTTTTTTTTCTTTTTGTTTTTTTCTTTTTTGTCTGTTTGTCGTCGCTCTTGCTCAGGCTGTCTGGAACTCTGCAGCTTTTCAACCGATTCCTCCATCTGGCTTTCTTTTCCTCCCAGAGGTGTCTTTTTGGGATTACAGGCCGTGCCATGGTAGGGCCCGGCGCTGCTATGTTGCTTTTATTATTCTCCAAAGTTTTAAATAAGATGTCCTTTTACCATTTTGTTGGTTTTTGTTTGTTCTAAGTGTTTGTTCACTTTCTTTCTAGGTGCTTTGGAGATCGATCCGATGAATTTCGCTAGACTTTTTTTCTATTGGAATTGGTTTATGGGTGTCTGATGTTGATGGTGATTGCGAATCTAGTAGACTGGACACGCTTCAAGGTTTAAATATGTGTTCTCTTATGTCTTAGTGCGCGAGATGATTAAGTTCCTTATATTTTTATATCCTCTGTTTATTCTTATGGTTTCCTATTTGTTAGTTTGTTGTAGTTTAATATTTTAAGAAATAATGGAAGCCATACAAAAACCATCATTATTTCTACTCCAGAGTGTTAATGAATGAAAAGAGGTAAGAGAGGTGTAATGTTTAATTAGTGATGTTTATTTTCAGCATGTTTAATATGAGTAATTTTTTACCTCCTTTAAAGATGAATAAAGTTTATTGACTAAAGGTGGGAAATGATAGATTCTAATTCTGTTTCAAGATCTCTGACTTATGTTATACATTGTACAATGGATTTCATTTTCGTGTAGCACCTTAGTTTTCCTATCTACAAAATAAAGCCAATGATAAATAAAAAACAAAACAAAACAAAAAAAAACTATCCACTGGTTGGGTCCACATGTCATCCACGATCCCCCTTCCCTCACCTGTTCCCCAGCTAGACCTGCATCCTGACCTTGCTAATTCATCCACCTTTCTCCATCTCCACACCAAGGCGCCCTCGCAGCTCCCGCCTGGACCGCTGTGTGGCTCCAACTGGTCTCTCTGATGTCACTCTCGCCCTTCTCAGTCTGCCCTCCCCCGTGAAGTCAGCGGGTGGCTTATTTTATGTAGATGTTCAGTCAAGTTTTAATTTTACAACAATCGAGATTTATAGAAAAATATTCAAAGGTAGCACAGAGCGTTCCCATATATCTGGACCTAGTTTCCCCTGGGAAATATTAATATTTTACACTACTAGGGTAGCCTTGTCACAGCTAATGAACCAATATGGATATCTTATTACTAAGCACATGCCATCATTTATTCAGATTTCATAAATTTTCTCCTAATGTCCTTTCACTGTTCCAGGATCTCATCGCAGTTAGTTGTTACGACTGCTTAGGCTACACTTGCCTTGTTTTTGATGACCGTGACAGTTCCGAGAAGTACTTGTCAGGTATTCTGCAGAGAGTTTTCCCGTGGCTGGAAGGGGCTATGGGCTTGAGGGCGGCGGCCTCCGAGGGGAAGCGCCGTTCTCCACACCGTGTGGACGTGACCTTCCTCCCTGGGCGACGTGGAGCTTGTCAGGCTCCTCATCGTGCAGGTTCTGCCCCACCCGGTCCACATGGTGTCAGACAGCAAGTCCCTGAGCGTCACCCGCATGGACAGGTGGGAGTCACGTGCCACCCCTGGAGGGGAGCATCTCTGAGGGTTCTTTGCAAAAGCCTGAACCAGCTCCTGTCTTCCTCCCTGCTATTAAGTAAAATCAGCCACCCAAACTCCAAACACCTCGCCCTGGTTTACCCTAACTCAGCCACCCCTGTGCCCTCCCTCAGTCTCAGCCCCTCCCAACCGCTCCCTGGCCGGCTCTGCAGTGCCACGCACCCTCTTGCTGGGCCACAAACACGCCACCCTCATGCCCACCTTTGGCCTTGCCCACTGACCCGTATGAAGGAGGCTGCCCCCCCAAATCCCTGTGGAGTGAGAGGGAATCCTCGTTCTCTGGATGAGAAAACTGAGGCCAAGACCACCGAGGGGAGCATTGCCGAGCTGGGCTTCAAACCCAGGCCTCTCGGACTCAAAGCCTGGGGGTGCAGCCACCTCCCCTCCTTCCCTTCCCAGTGCAGAAGCTGCTCCGGGGGCAGAACTGCCTGTGTCCCGGGGCAGGAAGACACGGACTCACTCACTTAGCAACTCAAATGTGGGTTCTGCGGGAGAGCAGGGCCACCTGTCCAGGACCTCCTGTCTGGACCTCATCGGCCCTCACAGTGGGCAAAGCCGAGAATGGCGGGACACCAGGGCCAGAGGAGGCCACCACCACTGTCTTGCCTCTGCAGGGACAGCCTGTGAGGACCCCAGGGGAGCAGCCCCTCAGCCTCACCATCCTCGGTTTCCACATAGAGGCGGAGTCCCAGATCCTGGTTACGGTGCAGCAGCCAGCGGTCACTGGCTGCTGTGACATCCAGCACCAGCCAGCCCTCGTCCCCAGCTCGGAGCGTCTGAAGATCCAAAAAGAACAAGTCAGACTCCCTGTGGACATGAAAGAACAATTAACCGGTGGCCGGCACAGCTGCCTGTGAGTTTCTAGTGCCCGCTTGGGGACCGTCACTGGAGCATCCCACTCTGGGCTGGCTCCTCCCACGACGCATCTCACTGAGTGGGCCCACAAAGGTGTTACTGCGCCTGAGTACAGATGGAGAAATTGAGGCTCAGTGACCTGACCAAGGTCTCACAGCCAGGATGGCAGGATGGGACCTGAAGCCAGGACTGTCTCTGGGCTCTTTGCTCAGTGCCCAGAGGCCTCGGGACAAACATCTTTCCCGTCTCCCAGGCTCCCTTTTCCATCCTCTGGGAACAGATCCTCCCCCTCCCCCACTGCAGCCCCCAGTGGGGGGGACACACGGGGCCTTGCCCAGGAGAGGTGAGGCGGGGCGGGCGCCTGGGCCCAGGGGAAGGCACCTGTTGGATTGCTCCTGGACCACCTGGAACAAGCTGACGTGGAGGGTCCTGTTGAGTGGGCGGGTGCTGGGCACCTTGTAAATCCGGAACTCCGCGGCTGTGACCGCCTCCCCCGTCGGGATCTGGGTCAGGTCAAAGCGGAACTCCTTCCAGTGGGGCTCCTGGTGGCCCAGGGCTCGGTCTCGCTCCACTGGAAGGCAAAGCAGAGCCAGTCACTCGGGGTGACTCAGGCTCCTGAGTGGGCAGAGCCGGGTGATCTGGTGTCATCCACTGCCTTGGGGGGCTCTCGGAGGCCTGGGCAGAGCCAGCTTCCTCCTCCGCAAATGGTCTTGTTCTAGGTCTGCCCCAGGGTATAGACAGGATTCCGCAATGTAGACAAGGCTGTGAGAGGTCGTGGAGTCAGGTGCACCCTGAGCCCCAAACCCTGCTCTCACCACCCTGCCCCCAGCTGGCCCTGGGACCTGCAGGTGAGACAGAGTCTGGGCCCTCCCCTGGGAGCTCCCAGGCCAAAAGGGAGACAGACATCAGACCCAAGGCAGGAAAGGGCCAGGCCCTCCCGGAGAAACTTGGTGGGCAGGGACATAACCGAGGGCATCTCAGCAGGACACGGGCTATCCAGAGTGTGCCTGGGCCTGGATGGGGGCGCTGGGTGAGGTCGGGGGCTCAGAGCCAACAGCTGAGCTGGGCTGAGGCAGGAGAGTGAACCTGCCACAGTGTCAGGGCACTGCCGGGCACAGGCCTAGAGCGGAGGGACCCAAGGGCAGGGCAGGACAAGTGACCACCCAGAAATAGCAGAGGGCAAAGGACCCAGCTTCCCGCTTTGGAACAAGGAGAAGGAGGAATGAAGAAGGAGGGAAACGTGGAAAGGAGCAAGAAAAGCCAGGGTGGGAGTGACAAGCCGCTGGAGAGGCCCAGTCAGGTGCTGGGAAGTCCAAGGGTCCCACTGGGTGGTGGGAGCTGAGCAGGCTCCACAGAGGAGGTGACACCTGAACTGGCCTGGAAGGATGGGACGGAGTTTCAGCGGTTGGAGAAGGTGGCAGGGAGGGAGGGCAGTGTAGGCAGAGGGGACCCCACCTGCACAGGTGTGGAGGTGCCCTTAGGCCAGCAGGTGTGGGGCACAGCAGGGGAGCCGGGCCAGGACATGGGCTGTGCCTGTGGCCAGCGGGGAGCACCGGGGGCGGGGCAGCAGGGACTGGTGGGGCGAGTGGGGGTTGAAGACTCCGTGGAGGCTGAGCTGGCGCACAGGCTGGAGCTGGGACCCGAGACGGCCCTGGTCCGTCTGTCTGGGGGCTGGTTCAGCAGTCTGGCAGGGTCCGAGGTTGCGGAATAAATCCCACAGTTCCCTGCACGGAAATGCCCGGGATGGTATATTTAGGGCGGTCTCACTTTAGCCTCCTGTCACTTTCACACAGTAAAAATCTGTGTTTCCAGAAAGCAGGGGCGGGAGCCGCCCAGCGCCCTCAAAACCCAACACTGAGATTTTAATTACATGTTTGTGAGTCTTTTTAAAAATTCTCTCTCTGGCTACTGGGCTCCGTGACCGCAAGCCAGGTTTTTAAAAAGCACCGGGCTGTGCGGCCCAGGGCGGATGTGGGGAGCACTTCCTGTCCTCGCGGTGGGGACCTGGCCCAGTGGCAGACGGGCAAGCAGCTGTGCTGGGCAGGGGCCGGGGCCAGACGTGCTTGGGCAGGAGGAGGCCACGACGGAGAAGGACTGGGTCGTGCATTGTCCAACAGCACCCGTGGGTGTCTTTCGATGTCTTAATTTTTGGTTAGAAAAAAGACTTTGAATTATCTTTTCATAAATAAATGTATTCACTTACTCGTTTATGTATCCATGAATTCATCTTGTTCACTTTATAAACAACTTTACCCAGTTCTTACTCTCTATGTACAACACTATTCTGGGCATCAGTGAACAAGACAATTTCTCCACATTCATGGAGTTTATAGTCTAATGGTGGAGGGAAGATATAAACAAAAAACATGTAAAATAGGCAATGTCGTTTCTATCGTAAGTGCTAGGAAGGAAACAGAGACAGTTATGGGCCCTAGAGTCATGGGTGTTCTTCACAGTGTGCACTGCACCACCTTTGAGAGAGAAATGGGTTAAGATCTGACGTTCTCATGCGTTCCTGATAGGAAAGCTGTTCAGAGAAGGAATTTGGCTGACAAAATTACATGTGATTTACCCTTTGACACAACAATCCCAAAGACGCAGTGGGTACAATATGAAAAGACATACATAGAAAACAATTCATTGAGCATGGGAAACAGACAAAACTATACCTACTTTCACAGGCACCTCTAAATGTTTATTTTCCACAAAATTATAAAAGCTGCCCCAAATGGTCAAAAGCTGAACTGGCTTCTGTCTGGAGAAGCAGCAAATGGATTTACTTTCTGAACAACCTCACTGGGGCCCCAGGAGAATAAGCAATCGTGAGTCACCAACGTGCGCTGATGGAACCCTGGGCCTCCTCCTCCAGCCCCGGCTAAAACCACCTCTGGATCCCACGTTTCCAGGAAAGGCCTGCTGTGGGCAGGAGGAGCCTCCACCCGCCACGGCCACCAGCCACGTCCGGGGTGCTGCGCCTGCCACTCGCATGCCAGGCCTCCAGATGCCCAGCCCTGCGGCCATCGGCCCAACACCAACAAAGGCTCCAGCTATTTTTGAGCCCCGGACAGAATTTAGACTCACCCAGACAACCTAAATCTGTCTTGTTTCTGGCCAAAAAGTAAGACTTCCAGACACCCTCTCCCTCCAGCTCTGAGTGGCTGTTCAGAGAACAGACTCTTCTGACCTGTGTGACCCGTCCCCGTCCCTCAGACCCGTCCCAGCCCCGCAGGGCCCACGGGAGGCTCAGCCCTGTGCTCCAGCCCTCCCTGACCTGGCCCTGCCCTCTGTCCCTCTCGGCCTCTTGCACCTTCTGGCTGCAAACCCGGTACCCCTCCTGAGAACGCTGTCTGGGGTCGGCCCTCCCGGCACTACAGGCTGCTTCCCTCTCAGGCCGGCTGAGGAGCCTCCTTCTCCTGGGACCCCACACGGATCAGGCCATTGGTCTCCCCCTTTCTCCGGTGCCAGGGCTCCTGCTCCAGGTTCAGCTGCCCCTCTGGACAGAAAGCCCTTCGAGGGCAGGGACGGAGCCGTGCAAGGTGGACACGAGAGGCGCTCAGCGGTCAGCGCGTCCAGCCCTCTGTGCTCCAGGGCTGGGGGGGGGCAGCCACTCTTCCCAAGGGCTGCTGTCCCCAGGACAGCGGCTCAGTGTCCAGCACCCACAGCCCCTGGGGCTGGAGCATCGTTGCTGGTCTGGGAGTGGCTTCCACGGCACAGTGTCTCCATCAGGTGCCACCGCCGTGTCACGTGGCTGTGGGACTCGCCTCCTCCCAGCCTGGCCCCTGAGGCGAGGGCAGGCTGCCCCAGAGCCCCGGGCGGACAGGCTGGGCCCGTCTGGCCAGTCCTGCTCGTGGCGAAGGCCAACAGTGGGTACAATATGAAAGACATACATAGAAAAAATTCATTGAGCATGGGGAAACAGACAAAACTATACCTACATTTCACAGGCACCTCTAAATGTTTATTTTCCACAAATTATAAAAGCTGCCCCAAATGGTCAAAGCTGAACTGGCTTTCTGTCTTGGAGAAAGCAGCAA